GAACGCTGCGTCTAGCAGGTTGCTCCCTATGCTCTGTAACCTCCACTGACGAGTTATGTCCAGTCTAGGACTTGGAGCCTTACAGAGACCAAAATACCATTCTGTCCACGATCAGGACTGCAGCTGCACAGCTGCTTCAGAAATGGGGCAGCCACCTCCTCTAGCAGTCTCTGCGGGTTCCAGGTTTCTTTATCAAGTCTAGTGAGCCCATCTTTGTTCTGACGAGGATACATGGGGGTGCAGGGTTTTGGTTTCAACTATAATTCCCCTACCAGGGCAGGGATGGTCTTAGTGCTCAAAAACATCTGCCGGGAGCAGAGCAGGGCTGTGTGTGTGTGTGTGTGTGTGTGTGTGTGTGTGTGTACATGTGTGGGGGGGGTGTGGGGAGTAGTGCAGGCAGAAGGGTGTTAAGGGATCCACCCTGGAGATCTGGTGGAAAAGGGCCACAGTGGGGAAAATCTTGAGCAATGATGGTCTGGAGGCAGAGCAGGAGGGCGAGAAGAGGCGTGCCCAGCCGGCCACTCTGGCGCCCTGGGGACTGGACCTCACTTGCCACAGCTCAGTTCCAGGGCTTCCCAAGCTGCTGAAAAGACTTTCCCTTGAGATCACAATGCGTATAATAAAGCAGGAAATCTGTCATACTCAAGATGACAGAGAACGGGGTCCGCTGCTGGAGACGGGGGCTATGTAGGGAAATCTGTGAGAAGCAGCATTGTGCTCGAGGTGCGAGACAAGGACACTCTGAGTTAAGCGTATCACCACGGGCACGACAGGAGGGTGTGACATGAAGCCGGACAGCGGCTGACAGCCCTGCGCAGCTCCTTGTCCTGGGGTCTGTGTTGGGATCACAGAGCTATGGCTTTCAATTCATGTAGCAGATATGATTTTCACTGAGTTCAAGCTCACCAAGAGCTGTGGTCCCTGGTAAGTGATGGGATAAATTACAGAAAGTGCTTCTCCTTCGGCATCCATGTAGGCTGAACATTATGACTGAAAATACATTTTCAAAGGTACTTATTTTCCACCAAAGTTCTATTTCCAGAGAGAGAGGGGAGCGCAGAGGACACTGGTTATTAAGCTCCACACACTCGTCTTTCAAGGGCCCAGCTACTCTTTGCTTACAGATACTCAAGATATATAGGGCACAGAGTCAGAAAAAATAACACGGGAAAAGTCGGGGACCCCGGCAGACGCTTTCTTTCCATGCCACAAAGCATTTGCATTTCCTCTAGGTATTCCAAAAAGTCTTTGAAACTTAGCCTCTTTTCTTTTCACCATACTAATAAGATGACTTGAGGTGTTTCAAGCACACTGATTTTATTGTAAAGAAACTGCATTGAATATATCCAGACATGGAACCATAAAGATAAGGCATACTAGTTACAGATTTCTAGAACCCTGTGGTCTTCTCAATACCTACCAGCAGTAAAATACAATGTCCTTTAGTAATAGGTTGTTCCTGAGAGGAGGATGAATCGCTAAACTGCTAAATCAAGAAAAGCATTGGGCTAGAGAGACAGTACAGTGGGTGAGGCACTTGCCTGGTCAAACCAGGCTGGACCCCTGGTACCATCTTTGGTCTTGTGAGCACTGCCAAGAGTGATCTCTGAGCACTGAGTCAGGAGTAAACCCTGTTTTAATGATTGCTGGGGTTGGCCCCCTAAGAGCCCCAGACCCTTTCCCTCCAAAAAAAAAAACCCCAAAAAAGCAAAGAAAAAAAGAGGCAAGCACTTGTTGAACAGAAACTCTGGCTGTACTCTATGTTCTCATAGGCCCTTGGTACATCACTCCAAGCACGCTCCTGCCTTCAGTGGCCTTTGGGGTGTGTGTGTATGTGTGTGTGTATGTGTGTGTGTGTGTGTGTGTCTGCTTGTGTGTAACAGTCTTCCCTATGCGGTGAGCTTTAGACATGAGTGGACCAAGGGCTGGAAGCATGGGGGCAAGAGACCCCCATGTCAGCCTCCAAGTCATCGTCAGCCGAGCACACAGGAAGCTGCTGAGCCAGAAGACTTGGGTGAACCTGGCCTTCAGAAAAGAGCATCTGAGCAGAGCTCTGTGCCCAGAGAAGGGCTGGAGGGAGGGTGCCAGGGGCCTGACCTGCCTGGCCTGTGTAGCGCCTGGGGTCCCCCACTTGGCTGCCAATTCTCAGAGGTATTTTTGTTCCTTTTTGGGTCACACCTGGTGATGTTCAGGGGTCACTCTTGGCTCTGCACTCAGGAATTACTTCTGGTGGTACTTGGGGGACCATATGGGATGCTGGGAATCGAACCCTGGTTGGCCGCATGCAAAGCAAATGCCCGACCCACTGAGCTATTGCTCCAGACCGGTCTGCTGGCCTGGCCCAGGGAAGAAACTGCTTCCCCGGCAGGGAGCGAGGGTTTCTCAGGGAAAGGAAGCCCAGAGATCTTCTGGGGATGCTTCAAGCACTGAGTTGGGGCTGAGAGCTCCCTGAACGCCCCTCCTGGGGAGATGCCACCTGTCAGTGCCCACCAGGGCGCAGAGTCACAGGCCCCCCAAATAGTCAAAATGCACAAACAAGTGAGAGTCTTAGGCAATGACAATGAGTTTGACAACGGCAAAGCTTTATACCAGTGTTTGGCCTAAGAAAACAAACCTGGTGGGTTTGATCAGATCAGCAAGCAGCTTCTTTGGTACTGTTTTGGCTCTGTTTCATTTTTTGGGAACATCCAATGGTGCTCAGGAATTATTCCTGGCTCTGCGTTCAGGGATCACTGCTGGTGGGGCTCAGGAGACCATATCAGGTGTCAGAGACTGGGACTGGGATGCCTGTGTGCAAAGCAAGGGGGCTCTCTCTCTCTCTCTCTCTCTCTCTCTCTCTCCCCCTCTCTCCCTCCCCCACCTCTTTCTCTGTGGCTCCGTTCCCCCTTTTTTTGTTGTTTGAATTTTGGTCCACATTTGATGGTGCCCAGGGGCTAGCCCTGGCTCTGTAGTCAGGAGTGACCCTTGGCAATACTTGAATGCCCACATATGGTGCCAGGCATTGAGCCAGGGTCAGTGGCTCCCAAGGCAAGTGCCCTACAACTGTCCTATCTCTCCGAGGACACGGATTTCTTCAGCCCTGAGGTGCCCTGGCTCTGACAGAAGGAACACAGCAGGTCAAAGGGAGGAGGACAGTGCCTCTGGTCAGGGGCAGGAATGACCAGTGAAAAGCCGTGGCCAGAGTGTGCTTCCTGACCCCCCGGTCTGCAGAAGATGAGTGCAATCCTGTGGCCTTGGACTCGCCTTGGAGAACACAGACCTCAGGGCTCCCCCGAACACAGCGGCACCTCCTCTTGTGCAGGTGACGTCCTCACACAGCGGCAGCTCCTCTAGTGCAGGTCAGCCCCTCCTGCTCCTGGGCTTGGCCTAGGCAGTTGGTGACGCAGCTGAAGTTCAAGCACAGGGAGGGAGGGAAGAGAAGGCTCAGCTGGTTAATCATTCCCGAGACTTCTGCATTCCCACACAGAAATCGAGGTGAATCAGGAAATGGATGGCATTTTTCAAGTCACACGAATCAGCGCCCCAAAATTCATCATATTCACCTTCTTTTACATTACGGGCAGGGCTCACCCGAACCCCCTCAGGGAGCGCTATCATTTTGTTTTAGAAAGAAGAAAATCAAGAGGCTGGAGAGATAAAACAGGAGATCCAGAGCCCATCTTGCATGCAGAGGACCCCGGTTTCTTCCCCAGCATGGCCTCTGGTCTCCTGAGCACTATAAGGGCACACACCTGACTGAGGGTCTTGCCCCCAGCATCCCCCACCCAATGGAAGAGAAAGAGGCAGCTCTGCATTGCAACCGTAATGCCAACTTTTATAATGGGAAGACCTTCATATGGGAAACACTTCATGGGTGCTTCATGTTTCAAAAAAAATATCCCGACATGTCATATGGAAGAACACCTGTGGATTTTTCAAAATAATTTTGTTTTGAAACCACAGACATGGTGCATTTAAGACTTAAATGCAATTAATTAAGACTTAATGCAAGCATTAAGGTGTTTGCCTTGGGGTTGGACAGATAACATGGCAGGTAAGGTGCTTGCCTTGCATGCGAGTTCGAACCCCAGCACCCCATATGGTTCCTCGTGCCAGCCTGGGGTGATCCCTGAGCACAGAGCCGGGAGTAAGCCCTGAGCACCACTGGGTATGGCCCCCAAACAAAACAAAAACCAAACTCCCTCCAACCCTTCTAAAACAAACTAACAAAAAACAAAAAAAAAAAAGGGCTTGCTCTGTATCTGATCTCTATGACTGCATATGGCCCCCATATGCACTGCCAGGAATCACCCCTGAGCACAGCCAGGAAGGGCCCCTGAAAACCCCAATAAAGCCAACCCCTTAAACTTTGCTTTTAGAGTGAACGTCTGGGCTGGGCCCTGGGTGCAAGTGTCACCTCCTGCAGATTTCAGCTTCTATGTTCCCAAGGGAATGACTGCCTGGGGGTGGGGGGTGGGGGTGGCCTAAGCTCCAAGTGACCCTGGCTGGAGTTCTGAAGAATTACGGAACTTCCCACAGATCCCAAGGGACAGTCGTTGAGTAGTAGTCCACTGAATCCTCTTCACTGAAAGAGCTAAGGATATACTCACGCTTACTAATCTGTCCTTAATTACCAATAATTTTCTTCTGGGGGGGTGGGTGGGTGGTATTCCTGGCAGTACTCAGCTTACTCCTGACGCTGAGGTCAGGGGTCAAACGCAGGCAAGGCAAGTGCCCACCCAGTACTATCTTGCTGGCTCTAAACATCCCCGATTTTAAATATGCTTATACATGGTCAGTTTGGTGATTCCTGAGCGCAGGGCCAGGGGTAAGAAAACCAGAAACCAATTAAAAAAAAAAAAGAAGAAAAGAAAAAATAGAAAAAGAAAAAAAAAGGGGAGGGGAGGGGTAAGGTTCTGTGATCAGCAGTTCTGGGTCGGATAGAAAACTGGTCTCCACCCGCAGCTGAACTCCGCCAAGACTGATCTAAGTGTCCCATTACGCCTCTCGCTGTAATGCAGTGCTCTGGGCCACAGCCGGGGTGAGCTCAGTGGCTCTGCGACCCAACTTCTCCAGCCCTGCCTGGGGGGACCGGGGCGCGGTCAGCGCTGCAGCCCGGCAAGGTGGCCAGGTCCAGGCCGCCTGCAGCCTTTGCTCCGCCCGCGGCAGGGGCGCTCGGGCCTGCGTGCCACGTAGTCGGGTCTGGGCGGGCGGCCGCGGGCCGGGCCAGGAGGGGCGGCGGGGGCTCCCCAGCAAGGTCCGGGGGGTGCGGCCCCCGGCAGACTCCCCCCGACCCCCGGCGGCCCCTAGCGCCCCGCATTTCCTCCCGGAAGTCGTGCAGGAAATCCGAGCGCGGCCGGGCACGCCGGGGCGCAAAGCCTGCAGCCCGGGCACGGGGGGCGCCGCGATCCCGGGCCGCGTCCGCGCTTTGGGGGCAGCTTTCGGGAGCCGCCGCGTCCCCTCGATTCTGGAAAGCAACAAACACGTGGAGAAAACCCCGTTGTCGCGGCTTTGCTGTATCCTCGGGGACCCGCGTGTCCTCGGGGGGAGGCCCCGGTCACACGGGGCCGGCGAGGGGCTTTGTTTGACGGGCGAACCCTGGGCACCATCGGGGCCCCCACCAGGGCCTGGGTGACCGGGGACCCCCCGGCCCCGTGCCTGGTCATGCGAGCGCGGGACCACCGGGTCCGCCTGGTCCCCGCGCGCGGGCGGACCGCGGGGGACTGTCCCCGCGCCCCGAGTGGCCAGAGAAACTTGTCACCTCCGGGAGCCAAGATGGCGCAAAGGGCGCAGGGACAGTGTCCGGCGCCGGGAGGCCACCCCGCCGGGTCTCCCCCGTCCCCTCTCCGCGGGCCGCCGGCCGGGAGGACTCGGGAGCAGGACAGCGCCGCCGGGTCCCAGACTCGCCGCGTCGGGCGCGGCCCGCTCGGCTTTCGGGTCCCCAAACTTTGCGCCGCCACGCGAGCACCGGGACCGGTTCCCGGAGCGCAACAAGTGGCAGGGCCCGGCCCGGCCCGCGGGCGCCGCCCCCACGACACCTCCCGGGACCCCCGAGCCCCGCGCCCACTCCGCTGAGCTTCACCCCAACTTGGCCAGCCGGGAGGCGCCGACCTGCAACTCCGCCGGGGTGCAGGCGGACGCCCCCGAGCTGCCCGAGGGGTCTCCAAACCGCGCCCCGCGGCCCCCTCCGTGCCCCCGAGCCCCCCGAGCCCCGATCCGCGCCCTGGCCCCGAGCGCCCACGCGCCCACGTCCCGGGTCCCCGCGCCCCCCGCCCGCGCCTCGGACCCCGTACCTGCAGCCCCGGCGGGCAGAGCGGGTGCGCCACGTCGCGGGCCGGGCGCGCCGCCCCGGGCCCTTTATACCGCACCCCTCCCCGCCCCTCCGCCCCGCGCCCCTCCGGGAGCCGCGGCCGAGCGGCGGGACGAGCCCGCGGGATGAGGGCGGCCGCGGAGCCCGGAGGCGCGGGGACCCCGACACCCAACGCTCGGACGACCCGGGCCCCGGGTGGGGCGCGGGGGGTCCCGGGGCGGCGGGCCCGGGCGGGGGGCGGCGCCGGGGGCGGGCCCCGGGGGTGCGCGCGGGGTGGGGCGGGGTGGCCCCCCGCGGGGAGGAGGCGGGGCGCGGGGGGGCGGGCCGGGGCGGGGCGAGGCGGCCCCGCGCGGCTCTACTCGCCGGGAAGGCGGCGCCGGCGGCGGCTGCTCGGGCTGCGTCCACTCGCGTGCCCGGCGCTCGCAGCGGGCGCCTCTGCAGCCCCCCGGCCCGCCGCGGGCCCCCCAGCCCGCAGCCCGGCCCGCACCTCCCCCGCCGGGGCGCGCCGCCCGGCCTTGTGGCCCGGCCCGGGGGGCTTCCCGCTCCCCCACCCCACAACTCCGGGGCGCCGCCGGCTGCGACCCCCAACTTTGCCTCCTCGCCCCCGGTGCGCGCGAACCGGACCCCGAGCGGCCACCCCAGCTCGGAGCGCAGCCCCTTCGGAGAGGGACCTGGGAGCGCCGCGGCGGCTGCCTCGACTTCCCCCGCGGGCGCGGGAGAGGACCCCCGGAGCCGGAGGAGCGGCCGGAGCGCGGCGAGTCGCACCTGGTGAGTGACCCCCGGGGGGTGTCCGCGTGGCCGCGGGGGCCGGGGGCGGCGGTGTCACCCGCGGGCCGGTCTTGGCGGGCACCTGGTGGCGCGCGCGGGGGTCGCGAGCGCTGGAAGTTTGGGCGTGCGGGGATGGGGCGCGCGGGGTCCGGCCTCCCCTGTGCCCCGGGAGGTGCGTCCCGGGGGGCTGGGCGCGCGGCCGTTGAGGAGGGGGAGTCTCTGCGGCGCAGAGCCGAGCCGGGGGTCACTTGGGGACGAGCTCGACCCTGCCGGCCGCCTGGTGCCGGGTAGATCGAGGCCGAGACCCGCGTCCCCCGCCGACCCCTTTGCGCGGGCATCTCCGGGAATGCGCCTCGGCGGGGATTCGGGGCCGGGGGTGCAGCCGGGCCCCGGAGGGAGCGATCCCGGACCCCGGGTCTGCGGGGGCACCGCCGCGCAGGCGGCTGCTCCCTCCCAACCCGGGCCGGACCCGGGGGCCGGGGCTTTGGCGGGAAGCGCGACCCCCTCGGCGCCCCCGGCTCGCTTTGTACCTGGCTGCGGATGCCGCGACTTGGGCTTTAACTTTCCTGCGCCGCGGCGTCCCGGAGCTGCCCGGCAGGGGGCGCTGAGAGCGAGCGCTCCGCCGGGTAGCCGGGAGCAGGGACTGGGCTGAGTGGGTGTTGGTGGGGGGCGCTGGGGTCCCGGGCAGCCAACAGAGGGACCTTTATTGCGGCTAGTGCAATGGTTTCCTAAGCGCGGCAGGTCGAGGGAGAGGGTCTGTTGATTGGAGGGAGCTGGGTTGCCAAATCCAAGCCCTCCTGCTAGAAAGGTTTTTGCACCCCAGCAAACTTCTGTCTGCCATCTGCCATCCTCCTGTGACACTTGTGTTGACTCAGAAAGAAGCAGAAATGGAGTGAAGAAAGAAGCAGAAATGGAGTGAAGACCATGGCCGTTACTGCCATCAGGTTCTGCTCCTCAGGAGCACGTGCATTTGACCTCCAGGAGCTAAACATGATGGTCACATCTTATTTTTAAGTTCAAGAAATGAATGTCATGTTTCGCTTACCCAGAGAGCTTGCTTGGCCCAGTGGCCAAGTTTGGGAGCAAAGTGTATTCTGCATTGTGAAGTTGATCTTTCCGACAGAGACCAGCGGGCAACAGCATGTCTTACTCAGGAGGATTTTGAACACCTACTTTGGATTGCTCGCTGAATAGGTCACTCACGCTTATTTCATTATTGCAGAAGATAGGGTCAAGTTTATGATCCCCTATTTTTATTTTCAAGAGACCAGTTCCCCAGCTCCTCCCTCTGAGTTCCAATAGAGATATATCATGTCTACTATCAGCACTGTGCCTCTGTTTACCCAAAGGAAAATAGCCCTCTCTTGCCTCCTTCCTCCCCCAAAGATTGCCACCACTGCCCCCAGTTAGTTTTAAATGAAAATGCGATTAGAACTGTAATTATTTGGGCCCTGTGAAACCTAGGTTTCCTTTTTCTTGAGTGTCTTATAAAAACTTTGGGGGCAAGAGCGCATCCCTGCTGACTGTACGCTCTGGGCAAGGAAGGTACCGGGACGCCCCGGCATCTGTCTGACTCCACGTGCTTTGTGCCTATGAGTCCTTCCTTAACAGGGCGGAGATGGACGATGCTGATCCTCCTATGGCTTTTAAGAATTACACTAATTTATTTGGTTGTTTTAATGGCAAACAGCTGCCAGATCCCTGCCGAGAGCAAAGACTTTGGTCTCCTGGGTGGCAAAGCTTGTCTCAAAAGGAGTGTTTGAAAGTTCTTAAATATGGTGGAGAAAGAAGAAAAGAAGAAAGCAAACAACTGTGTGTTCTTCACTGTCACTGCTTTTTACAATGATGTCTCTCCTGCTTCTCGGTGGGGGGAAACGCAGGAGCACACAAAGCACCAGCTTTTACAGCTGTGGGGCTCTAGTTAGGCTTCTTGTTCACACAGTTTCCTGAGTGGTGAGCGAGTTTCTGGAACTTTGGAGGCTCCATCCTTGGGTTTTCAGGAAGAAATCTTGCTTCAGAGTCACTTTAGGCTCCAAAGGGACATGGAAAACCAACAAACTTTGCATGGAGTGTTTTGGCGGTGCTCAGTGTAATGGGAACCAGGTCCCACTGCCTCCTCGGGGGTGCCTGAGAGAGACCTGCTTACCGGAGCCGGTAGAGTGCTTATTAACTTGGTGCTATAGAGTGCTTATTAATTCAGTGATGTTTGTTCACGATTCCAAAGTTTTTTTTCTTTAATTAGGAAATCTTTGACATTAAGGCTCTGCATTTGCTACACATACACTTAGCTCAGATAGAAACTAAACCCAAAGCAGGGGTTGGGTTTCAATCACAACGTTTGACAGGATAGAAGAGATTAATTTGTTTATAATATATGAGTCAAGGAATCCATTTTCATCATGGTAAAAGTTCACATGCTGGAAAAAAAACAGAGCACTTACGTTCTGCATTCAATACTCTGTACTTCTTTGTTTTTAAAATTAGACTAAGTTTGTATTGAAAAATGCTTCTGAAATTGTTGCTATAGTTACCCTGACAGATTGCTTAGAGTATAATTATCATATGAAGGTGATGCATTTTTCTGGGTAGTGTTCAATAATTTTTAAAAGGTAAATTACAGTGTCCAACAAATTGGATTACACCAAAGTGCAAAATTGGGAACTGTATAGTCTATGCTCACTGTCATCTGTTTGCAGATTTATGCAGAGAAAGTTAATTTACTTCTAAAAAGAGCACGTAGGATAGTTTCATGTTGTTTTTACTGTCCTGGGTACTGTTGTTGGCTACACAGGCATTTTACATATGTTCTCAGAAGACTGAGACATAAATCTTGTTGAAAATGGCTGGATTTTATTGTTCTGCTTGATCCCCTGCAGATCTGCACTGCATATAGTGCAGTCTCTGTGGTAATCCACCCAAAAGGACAGCGTTGTAAAGTAAATTCAACAGGTGATGTTGAAGCTTGTTAAATATATCGTTTCTTTCTTCGATGAATTTTTCTGGTACTGGCTACCCCTTAAATTAATTTCTGACAAGAAACAAAAGGGAAAAAATTAAAATAAGCTGGCCTATACCTAGACACACCTTTTATTTTCAGTGGACCAGCTCCAAATTTGTTTTAATTTAGAACTTAAGCCAGACAGAACAAAGCAAATGAGGTCTTGGTCTGGAGGAAACTACTATGTAATAAGTAATTTATTATAATGTAGTGGTGTTGAAACAATGAATCTTTGGCTCTGAGTTTTACAAAGTATTTTGAAGCCAGGCAACTTCAAAGAAAAGTTAAAGAGTTTACCCGGGCATGCCCTATCAATAGGATGAGCCCAACAGTGGGCTGAAGAAAGCATTTTCCCTTGTTTCCTCCCCTCCCTTCTTTTTCTGTCCAAGACTAAGGGTTGTTTGACAAGAACAAAGGTGAGCCCACTTGGTATCTCATCTCTGAATTTGTACATAAATCAGCTGCTTATAACAAGGTGGTGATGTTTGGAAAACATAAAATCTTTTCACCTCTTGGGGCTGAAAAACCCACGACTTCCAAAGATTTTCCTGGGGATGAGTATCTTCAATTTCTGAAAGGCCACTGACTCACTAATCCGGCGTCTGTCCATCTCTCACTCATTTGCCTGCACGGGGCTCCTGTGGAATTGGCTAGCCTGGAGTTCACGTAGAATGATGGGGAGTCGACAATGAAACAATTTTATTTTATGTTGCCTTTTTATGTACATCCCATTACTGCAATAGGTAATTCAATTACCGATATGTATGATCTATCACCAGGAGAGCGATGCTATCGGACGCCAGCTCTCCTGGAGAAATAGGACTGTATTTGCTGAGATGTGTGAAATTAAATAAGATCTAGGCAAGTGACAATCAGGACTGAGCAAGGACAAATGGCTCATGGGAAATAACCCCTCTCCAGCGGTGCAAATTCACCCAACATTTGGTATCCGGGCGGGATGGACTGAGGCAAAAACAAAACCAAAAAGAAACAACAACAACAAAAGAGTCAGTCAAAGAATCCCTCTCCTGAGCACTTTCCCGTGAGTTAGCCGTCAGCATACTATGTCTCGCGCTTTACTGAGATGTCTGTGAGAGATGTCAATACAACTTGATTCCAAGTTAAAGAGTGCACTGAGAATTTCCGTTCTGTAAAAGACATGTCAGCAGGAAGCAGAGAGGGGGCCCGGTTCTGCGGGGGTCTCCAGCGCTGCCCCAGCCAGCCCTGGCCAGCCCCCAGGGAGCCAGCAGCGTGGCGGAGCATGGGAGATGGCTACTTGTGGTTGGGCATCCTGCAACCCAGTGGGTTTCTGCAGCACAGCTGGCTTCTGCGATGCCTTTTATAGGAGTGAGATTTAGCTCTGCTGTAAAAGTTTACCGGTTGTAAAGCTGAGAACATTGTTTGTGATGGGCATAAAGCAGCGTTTGCCGCTCTGGGTGTTGAACCCCCCTGTCCGGCAGATAGTGTAATGAAGCCACTGTGCTTGCCAGTTGGCATAGTCACACGGAATAAGGATTTGCTTCGGAAATGGCATTGAACTTGGTTTGTTTCTTTCTTTTTGTTTGTTTGTTTGTTTTTGTTTTTTGGACCTCCTAAGTGGTGCCCAGAAGGCCCTTGTGCCCTTTCCAGTGATGCTTGGCCAACTGGGCAGGAGTCTGATTGATGCCAGGGCACAGGGCTGCTTGAGCCCTGGGTGCCCGGAGGCACCGGGGCCAGCCTAGCAGTGCTCATTGGCCTCCAGGATCATGTGTGGCCATGCTTGGGTGCTGTAAATTGGACTGGGGTCAGCTATGGGGCCAGGGGGTTTACAGAGTTGGGGACCCAGGGGGCTTCTGTGTACACTCAGTGTGTGTGTCTGCAGTGGGACATGTGGGGCTCCTGTGTACACTCAGTGTGTGCATCTGCAATGGGGACACTGGGGCTCGTATGTACACTCAATGTGTCTGCAGTGGGGATATATGGGGCTCCTTGCACGCACAGTGTGTGCGTGTGGTGTTGGCGCTTCT